GAGTCATGATGCTCTTTTGACCCTAGTAGAAACCTATCAACTTTCGCTGTTAGGTAAAAAGAGCTATTGGGACCCAGCTGAGACCCAATGAAGATCCTCCCGCTAGAGGATGGTGACAGGCCTGGGCGGTTGAAGCTTTTTTACATCCGTGCCTTAAATCTACATCTTTGTTTGGAGAACCATAAACTTTGCCTGACAATCCTGCTTCTTCTGGACGTAGAGATCAGTAGGCGTTCGCAGGCAGAGGAACATGCGCGCTCCCAGGAAAGCGGGAATATGGCCAAGAAGCTTGTAAACTCCCAGACAAAGCATGCAGATGCAATGTTTGCTTCATAGACATGTTTCCCCTCGCTCTTCATCGTCCGGCAACGACGCAACCGTATTTGTTCGCATGCGTGGAAGCATGCGCACCCAGGTAAGCGGACATGTGGCCGTGAAACCATTGGTAAACTTCGAGGCAATGGAATTCAAATTGTTGTGCTTTGCATCAGCGACCATGTTTGTCATCGCGCCTCATCGTCCGACAATAGCAAAAACAGTGTGTTAAAAGATGCGGAAGCATGAGACATCTTGCGTCCTCGCGCCTCATCGCTTGGCAAAAGCAAACCAGTATGTTTCCGCATTCGCTTTCGAATGCGTACACAAGAGGGCGGAAATGTGGAAACGAAATTGTTGCTTAAATCCCAACCAATACTTGTGGATGTGAAACAGTTTGTTTGTATGATCGACCATGTTTGTCCCCGCGCCTCTTTGTCCGGCAACAACGAAAACCACATGTTTTCGCAATTGCGAGCATGCTTGCCCGGGAGGGCGAAAACGCGGCCTAGAAATCAATGGTAACATTCGAGCCACGACTTGCGGCTGCAAACGTGTTGCTGTGGCATCGCAAACAACCTTCGTCCTCGCGCTTCATCGTCCAGCAATAGCAAAACACAATGCCGTCGCACTCGCGGAAGCATGCGTACCCAGGATGGCAGGGATGTGGCCAAGAAGTCGTTTGTAAAAAAAACCAGCCTAGGCATGTGGATTTCAAACTGTGTACGTTGTATCATGGGCTATGTTTGTCCGCGCGCCTCATCGCCTCACAATCGCAGAACCGTATGTTTGCGCAGTTGTGGGAGTATGCGCACCCAGGAGGGCGGAACGTGCCCAAGAGATCGTTTGTTAAATTCTAGCCAACGCATGCGGATTTCAATGCGTATTGTTTGGCATCGCTAACAATTCGTGTTTTCTCTTTGCAAACGCTTCAGATCGTTCAGAGGCTCGGATACCTCTGCAAAGCGGCCAGGCGCTCAAAGCCTCTGCAGAGTGTCCAGGCGCTCAGAAGCCGATGCAGAGCGCTCAGGCGCTCAGAGCATCTGCGAAACGCTCAGGCGCTCAGAAGCCTCTGCGAAGCGCCCAGGCGCTCAGATGCCTCTACGAAGCGCTCAGGCGCTCAGAAGCCTCTTCAGAGCGCCCATGCTCTCAGGCGCTCAGGCGCTCATGAGCCTTTGCAGAGCGCCATGCAATCGTAAGCCTCTGCAGAACGCTCGGATGCCCCTGCAAAGCGCTACGGCGCTCAGGCGCTCAGATGCCTATGCGAAGCGCTCAGGCGCTCAGAAGCTTCTGCAGAGCGCTCAGGCGCTCAGATGCTTCAGCCCCTGCAGAACGCGCTCTCTTCTGAAGGCTGGTTGTAAAGTGGCCGTTCTGGTTGCAGAGAGCCCCGTCTGGGTTGTAAGGTGGTCGTTCTGGTTGTAAAGTGGGTTGTCATGGTTGTAAAGTGGTCGTTCTCCAAGGAACACTGTGGAGTTCGATCCTTGGCCAGTTGTAAACTGACCTTTTTCGATTGTAAAATGTTGTTTAAACTGAACGCGAGTCTCGGCTGGTATTGGCACCGTCCCCGCCATCCTCCGCAATGCGAATAATGTGCCCTCGCGCGCGCTGATAAAAATCAGCAGTTTTCGAACCCCTTGCAGAGCAGAAGACGAAGTGCACACGCGCGCGTTGTCGCGCGCGCGCCACAATCCACCAACAAAAAAACAATGGTGTCGTAGCGGTTTGAAGACCCAACGCCGACATGACATTGTTAGAACGCCCAAACAAGTTTCGCGACGCGTCTTTTTTGTTATCTGAAAAACGTGCGCGCGATCGGGCGAATTCAGAGGAATACCATGCGTGTTGCATCATGTTCAGAAGATGCGACCGAACTGGTCTGGCGCGCGCACGTCGAAATCGTTGGAACGCCCCTGCGCGCGTGCCGCCGCGGGTGTCCCCTCAAAAAACAAGACGAAATGCACTCGCGCGTGGCGTCGCGCGCGCGTGCCAAAATCCGTCAAACACATCAAGTTCCGTAGCGATTTCAAAACCCAATGTCCAAAACATATATATATATATTATATATATATATATATATATATATATATATATATATATATATATATATACACATATATTGAATATGATGTCGCAACAACAATTTTCGTATGGGCGCGCGCTCGCGCTCTCGCGAATTGAGAAGACCATAAGGTTCTTGCAACCTGTCCGTGGAATACTGCCAGGCGGGCCTCTGGCGCCGCATGCCGCCATCTTTCGCGCGCCCTTTTGCGCGTGATTGGGGGGGGCGCTATCCGCGTCAAATAGCATGGGCCCATCTCGCGCGTCCGCCGCGCGCGCATGTCGAACACTTTACAGACACTTCATCGCTGACGCGGCGACGTCGTCATCGTCGTCTGCGCGCGATCAGCACGGGCGCCGTCGTCGCTGTCAGCATCTTCGCCGGCGTCGTTGCCATCATCATCGCGCCCGCCGTTTACTGCTGTCGACGCCGCCACGACGCCGCGCCCGCCCAAGTCGCCGGCTCGCACTGGAACTGCCAGTTGGGATGCGCCGAGCGGTCAGCGCCACCGCGCTCGCGTCGGTCGCGCCAAACTAGCCGGCCGATGAACGCGCGAGCATGCGCGGGCTTGCGAGGCCGCAGAGATGCAGCAGCCAACGCCAAGCACTCATCGCAATCGCCTCCGCATGGGTTTTGCCAGCCAAGTTGAGGGTGGGCGGGGTCGACAACTTCAACTTCGGCAAGGTGAATTCACCAACCTTAAAAACAACAGCGAATAGACTCCCCCCCAAAGATGTTCGGCCCCCCTGTTCGACTTGCAATTTGCGCGTAATTCAGCCCAGTCGCCCATCCTAAATATGACTTTGTACCGCCCCAGCCGCGCCGGCATCGCCCCAACCGCCATCCTCTGCAGAACACATTATGCGCGCGCACTCCTGGATTTCAAAACCAATCAGCTTCAATCGTCCCTTGCAACAGAAACGAAACGAAGTGCGCGTGCGCGCGCGTCGTCGCGCGCGCGCCGAAATCCTTCAAGAACCTTGGGCTTGGTAGACGTTGTAAAATCGAATGCCCCAAAAAAAAAACAACACTCAATTTCGCAACATCGGAGTTCAAGAAGAGCGCGCGTGCACTCTTGCGGATTCAGAAGAAAAACCATAGGTTTTCAACCTCGTCATGACAGACTACCAAACGGGCTTCGCGCGCGTCGAAATCGTTCGAACGCCCTTGCGCGCGCGCCGTCGTTAGAATCCTTCATGTGGAAAATGACGAAGTACACGCACGCGCGTCGTCGCGCGCGCATGCCAAGCAACCCGCCAAACACAGTTCTGGTTTCGTAACGGTTTTACAACAGAGTGTCGAACCCTTCGTACGAAACCACATGGTATCGCAACGTCAATTTTGAAGAAGGCGTGCGCCCGCGCTTTTGCGCACTCTTGAAAACCATCGGTTCCCCAAACATGTGTATGGAATTCCGTCACGCGGGCCTCTCGCGTCGCGTGCCGACATCATTCGCACGCACTTGCGCGCGTGCTGGGGGGGGGGGGAGGGGGGGGGGGCGATCCGTGTCAAATAACACCGTGCGGGCCAGTCTCGCGCGTCGGCCGCACGCGCGTGTCGAACTCTTTCGAACACCGTCATCACCGACGCGAGGACGCCGTCATCGTCGTCGGCGCGGTCAACATCGGCGCCGTCACTGGCCGCGCCGTCGTCGCTGTCAGCATCGCCGCCATCATCGCTACTCTCATCACCGTGTCTACCGTTGTCGCCGTTGCCACGGTACCGCGCCCGCCCAAGTCGACGACTCGCACTGGAAGTGCCCGCTGGGATGTGCCCAACGGTCAGCGCCACCGCGGCTGCGTCGGTCGTGCCAAAGTCGCTGGCCGCTGCGCGCGCGTGCATGCGCGGGCTGTCGCGGCCGCAGAGATGTACCAGCCAGCGCCAAGCACTCATCGCAATCGCCGCCGCATGGGGTTTGCAAGCCAAGTTGCGGGTGGGCGGGTGGGATGTTTGCGCAATCAGGTGGACTGGACAACTTCAAAGTGAGCGTCGATTGCGCCACATAATGCACCGCATATAGTGCAACACAGAGATTTCTCCACATGGACTGCACATCGTAGACAGCGGGAAACAGACTGCTTGCGGTCCACGCTGGCTCACATTGTCATTGCCTGGTCACGGTCGTCGCCCAGGGGTTGGGGGAGGGTGCTCGCGGTCCACGCTGGCTCACGTTATCGTTACCTGGCTACGGTCGTCACCCATGGGTTTGGGGAGGGGGTTAAGGCTCTGGGTAACGGTAGCGCCTGGGCAGGGTGGGGCACGTCGGGGCGGGGAGGCGCCGAAATCGCCATAGCCTGCGCGTTACCACCAATGTGTGAGGAAGAGCCAGTCCCTCTCCCATCCCTACGTACGATCGTTACCGTTACCACGGGGATGGGGGGGGGAAGGCGTTGGCCCTGTAGCGATCGCTAGTGTCAGCTGACGATTAACAAATCAGCGGTGGGCGCGCGTTAAAAAAAATCCCTGCTCGGGAGAATCGCGGGGTGGCGCCCGCCAGATTGACAACCGACGGCGGCGGCGCTGGTGGTTAGCGCCGACGCCCGGCCGGCAGCGAGACTGCGACAGAAACGGCACAGGCCGGGGGAGAGGGGGGCGGGAGGAAAACCTGCCGTCGGCGCTCCCCCCCTCACTTTCCGTGCTCGTCTTTGCCGAACCGATGGGCCTCCTTCGCCCTGGCCGCAGCCCAGAGGAGGCGCAAGGGGCGCGACGCGCCTCGCCGGCCCGCGGCCAGGGCGGGCTGGACGAGACGGGGTCGTGGCCAAGCGGGGAGCTGCCAAGCAGCTCGCGTCGCTGATCATCCGAGCGCCCCCTGAGGCGGAAAACGGCCATGCATCGAGGGTGGCCCCCCTCCTCCTCCCCCCCCCTCCCCTCCCCCTCCCCCTCCCCCCTCCCCCTCCCTCCTCATCCTCCTCCTCCTCCTCCTCCTCCTCCTCCTCTTCCTCCTCCTCCTCCTCCTCCTCCTCCTCCTCCTCCTCGTCCTTCGGCGTGGCAACCGAAACCACCTGCGCGCAGCAAGCTTCGCCCCCCCCTTTTTCTTCCCAGCCCCTCGCCCCACCCGATGCGGGCAGTCCTCCTCCCCCGGCTGCCGCGGCCTGTCTGTATACCAATCGTCGGCGACGACGGCGACGACGACCAGGCCCAGTGTAGTCGACGACGACGACGACGACGACGACGACGACGACGGCGACGACGACGAGGACGAGGACGAGGAGGACCATGCTAATCTTCTCAGTATCCTTCAATTTTAACGGATGATCCACGAATGGAATCCATGACGAGGACGAGGAGGACGAAGACGAGGACGAGGACGAGGACGAGGAGGATGGACGGCGGACGGCGACGGCGACGGCGACGGCGACGACGACGCACTGCGGGTGTCCTATGGGGGGGAGCTGCGCAAGCCCGCTGTAGTCGACGACGACAACGACGACGACGACGACACCTGAGAGGGGGAAACAATTCGCCTCTGATGTGTACGACTCCTACAACAGCTTCTATACCAGAGGCAATCGTTTTGAGGCTGTCATGCAAGGGAATACACGATCCTCTCGGCGGTGCCCGCGACGACCCCCTGGCGCGCGTGATTAAAACATGTTTCGCGGCCCGCGGGGTCTATTCATCAGCCCTGGGGGGGCGCCGTCACTTGTTAATCACTAGCTGGCATCACGCACAAGAAGATACACCAACAACCTCCCGGCAAGCGGTCAGCAACGAACCGATAGACCAAATCAGATCGGAACAGGCATCGAATCGCGGACAGCATCCGGGTGTTGGTAGAAGTGGACGCGGCCCGAGGTGCTCCCAGTCTTTCGCGCCATTCTGGGGCCTCTGGGGCCCTCAGGGCCTCGTGTGGGGTGCTCTGGAGGCCAGCTGCACCTCCCTGGGAAAGCTGGGGCCACCTTGGGCCACGACCACTTCTAACGACACCCGACGAGTTAGAGCACGGAGTCGGAACCAGACCGGGCCGGCCGCGCCAGGCTGCACGGCAACGCCAGGCGGGCGTGCGGCTCTCGACAACATCCAGGCAGGCCGAGGTCGACGTCGAGTCGGCGGATCGAGGTGGGCCCCGACCTGGTGGAGCTGGCTCTCCAGCTGGGCCATCTGGGACTGCAACGCCCTCTCCAGGTGGTCCAGCTCGATCTCCCGCGGGCTCGACCTCCTTCGGCGGGGGGGACGGCGCCGATGCCGCAGCACGGCAGCTTGCCCAGTCGTGACGAACCGGGCGCTGGCTCCCGGAACCCGCGCGGATCGTTCGGCCTCCAACGACCGGCGGCTTTGCCATCGCCGGATCGCTCCACTGGCCATCGCTCGGACGTCCATTCCTTGTTTTTTTTCGGTTTCGTGCGTGGCTTCTTCGCCAAGTGATTAAGGATGCTCCTCGATGGTCCTCGCCGAAAAAATGCACACGTCCGAGCGATGCCAAGACGCTGGCCGATGCTCTGGGCCCACGGCGGCGCTCGGCCTCGGACGCCCGCGCCAGGACCGCCGCCGCGGCGGCACGCGGTACGAAGCAGCCGTCACTCGCGGGCCCCCCTTGCCCCGGGGGAGCGGCCCACGGCCAGGCCTCCGGGGCGCACTGGGCCGTGGCGGCGGGGGACCCGCCAGAGAGGAGGCACACTATGAGGGCGAGCGCGGGGGAGGGACATCGGGCTCGGCCCCCGGACATCCGACGTCCGAACGTGCTCGATGCGGGGCCCCCGGAGGGAAGTCCAGATGCTTCCCCAGGAGGAACCGTCTCTTCCTTCTGAGCTGTTTGTGAAGGTTTCGGGGCCCGCAGACGGACTCCGGATGCGGAAAAGCAGGCGAAGCATGCATCAAGAAGTGGGGCGCCTGGGTGTAGGCATGTGCGCGCGGGCGGAACTGCGCAGCGTCGGCGCAGCTCGGAGGGCCAGAGCGGGGAGCACGAGGGCCTGGGGCGCCCCTGGGGGGGGGCCAGGCCTGGCCGAACTCGGCGCGCCCCCCCCGAAGTGCCGACCGCAGCAGAGGAGGAGGAGGAGGAGGAGGAGGAGGAGGAGGAGGAGGAGGAGGAGGAGGAGGAAGAGGAGCGGACTCGGCGGCAACTGCTGCCCGCATCCAGTCCAGCTGTGAGGCAGGAGCGTTTCGGGGCGGACCGGCTCGGGGAGGGGGCCCTGGGGCACACAGATATAAGTAGACACGGAGAACCGGATCCCTCGTTTCCCCATCTTTTCTTGGAGGTTTGTCTTCTCCCCCACTTCCCATAGTTTCCCATATCTTCTGGGGGATCGACGATTCATTGTGTCTGTGTGTTTTGGACACACAGATAAATAGACACGGAGAACCGGACTCCTCATTTTCCCCTATTTCCTGGAGGTTTCTCTTCTCCCCCACTTCCCATAGTTTCCCGTATGTTCTGGGGAATCGACGATTCATTGTGACTCTGTGTTTTTTTTCCCTCCTGAGATACGTCGCCGACGGACGGCTGATGGGCCGCCGAGAGCGCGGAGCCGCCCGGTCCCGAGTGGGTCCTCGGGCCCCTTCGCTCCGGGGCGCGCAGGCGCGGAGTAGCGATCCGTGGGTCTGGCGCGCGGTCGCCTTCGTAATCAGATCCATCTCCTCCTCCCACCTCCTCCTCCTCCCTCCTCCTCCTCCTCCTCCTCCTCCTCCCCTCCCTCCTCTCCTCCCTCCTCCTCGTTCCTCCTCCTCCTCTCCTCCTCCTCCCTCCTCCTCCCTCCTCCTCCTCCTCCCTCCTCCCTCCTCTCCTCCTCTCCTCCTCCCCTCCTCCTCCTCCTCCTCCTCCTCCTCCCCTCCTCCCTCCCTCCCTCCCTCCCTCCTCCTCCCTCCCTCCCTCCTCGCTCCCTCCCTCCTCTCCCTCCCTCTCGCTCCTCTCCTCTCTCCTCCTCCTCCTCCTCCTCCTCCTCCCTCTCCTCCTCCCTCCTCCTCCTCCTCTCCTCCTCCTCCTCCTCCTCCTCCTCCTCCTCCTCCTCCTCCTCCTCCTCCTCCTCCTCCTCCTCCTCCCTCCTCCTCCTCCCCAAAAGGCGGCCCGTGCTGCCGCGCTCGGCGGCGGCAATCCGCGACTTCCCATGGAAACGGGGCCCGTCGCTAATCCACGCCCCCTCGATCCATGCCTGCGATCGCCTGGCTAATCGGCGATGAGTGGACGTTGTGGGGTCCACGCATCCCCCCTGAGCATATCCCCCCACTGCCGCGGCGGAAGTTGAGTTCAGTGAACTTTCGAATGGGCTTCGCGCGGGGCAGATCGGGCAGGGTGACGCGCTCAAGTGCTCGTTCGGCAGTTGGGCCATGATGGTTTGAATGCTGGTGGCCACCATGGCCATCATAACGACCATTCTGACGCGACTGGCGACCGTCGAGTTGATGGTGGAGTCCACGACGATGATCATGATGAGTAGCGCCGACATGATGATATGACCATGATGGTCATATTCACAATGTCGCATCATGGTCAGCATCGTGACCATGACGATGAGTCCCACGCCCAAATGAACGACACCGAGACCACGAAAAAAACCGAGCAAGCCCTGCGCCCCACGCCCCAAGTAGACGAAGCCGCCACCGCAGCAACCCCCACGGCAAACCCTGCGCCCGAGGCGGCGCTTGCCCTGGTGCCCGCGGCGCCCTCCACAAGACGCAAGGCCGCGCGTCAGAACAGGCGGCGCGGCGACATATTACGTTCTGGAATCAGGATGCATCGATCTCCGCCCCTGACCGAAAAAATTGTGGGCTCAGGCCCCGTCCCGCGGCCGATCGGGTCCCAGAAACGGCGCCAGGCCGAGCTGCAGGCGGCCGGAGGGTCTGAACTGGTTGGGGCCCCAGAAAATCGATCAAGACGGGGGTTGAGGGCAGATCCGCTCAAAATCGATTACCGGACCTCTCCTGTAAGAGATCGAACTCTCTCTCTATATATATATATATATATATATATATATATATATATAAACCGACGCTTGTTACGGCCCTGCATGGCAATTTGCACTGGAGAGCGGATCCTGGTGTATACGGGGCCCTGGTGTATACATGTTTCGATGTTACCCCGGGACATCGGGGAAAAGGGTATACACCACACCACCCCAGCGTCGTTCTCGACCCTCAAAAAGTCCTAGGATTGAAAAACAGCCCACCACTGGTACTGTATATGTTCCAGTTTCCGATCCTGGGGCCACTCAGTCCAATATGTCACTGAAGATCGGTTTTTGGCAATTCTGGGGCACGTAAGCGGCCCCCGAAGGCCAAAAGAGGCAACAAAAACCTTCTTGAACCTTGAGCCTCGAACCTGGCACCCCTTCGTGCTCGCCGGAACCAGTGCTGGGCCACCTCAGACCCCCAGCAGGCTCCAAGGGCCGAATCTCACTCTTCAAGCAAGTTCTTTAGTTCCCCTGTTCTATGCGACCCGATGGATCAGGAATCCACAGTCTGAAAACCTTCTGGAGCACCAACTGAGCCTTGGCCATGGATGCCACCGCCACCCTCACCAGATGAGCCTCCAGGATATGAAGCCTCTTGGGCACTTGTTCGATTTTCTGGGGAGTTTCGACTCCAGGGCGTGGCAAAGGACGTGGCGAAGCAGGAGGACGAGAACCCGGAGGTGGGCGACTCTGGGAGGGGGCTACGACCCCTGCAGGTGCGGCTTGCCGCACCCACTATGTCGTGTTGCTGCTTCTCTTCGTGATCAGCGGCCGCGGCATGTACAATATTTTGTGTCCTCAATGGCCTCACCGTATCCTTGGGTGAGCGGGGAGCCTCCGTGGACCTCCGCGGCCCTGTTGTACATGTGATTTCGACCGTACTTCGTGCAGATTTCGACCCGCCCTCTTGACCCTCTCGTCCAGAGTTCGTCCGAACCTCGTCCAGGTGTCGAACACATCATACAAAAAACTCTCAAGACCGCAAGAAACCCTGGGACCCTATGGGTTAGTGAGGGGGTCTCCTACAGCGACCATTAGCAGGCCATGGCTGTTAACTTCTTGGCCCGCGGAATGAAAACACAAAAAAACGAATTTGACAGACGAAGCGCCTTGAAATTTTCAAAATTCCGCTGAGCACTGATTTGTGCACGGCCTGTTTTGCCATCGGCTGCTTTGCAATATTCAGAATTCCACGAGGCATTGATTTTTGCCAGGCATGTTTTGCCATGGGGCGATGTGTCATCGATTCAAACGCGGGGAACCCCAGGCGATGCTCACTGGTACAACGCCCAAAGGGTTTCCGAAACAAACAGCGCACATGTTGGATTTGGCGCGCGGCGTACGCGAGTGAGAAAGCAGCCGCTCCTCTAGGGCAGCGCGCGCCTTGAGGGGACGCAAGCTTCAACGTGCGAGCGCGTCCACCGCGCAAGCGCAAACGCTACGAGCGACGGGAAAAAACCGTCCGCTGCTCGGCGATGCGCACACCTGTCGCGACATCACTCGAGAACGTCGCAATACCATTTGTTTCCGTCCAACTTTGAAGACGGCGCTGCGTAACCAAAGCGCGCGCGGGCGCGCCAAAATCGAAGCAAACACGCACGCGCACACGCACGCACACACACACACACACACACACACACACACGCGCACACACACACGCACGTGCACGTAGCGAGCCAAACTTTTGAGTCGCGACGGGTACAAGCTAGACCAGGGCGCGGCTAACATAATTGACGGCAGCGCAAACATCTCTCTCTCTCTCTCTCTCTCTCTCTCTCTCTCTCTCTCTCTCTTTCTATATATATATACATTATCATCTGTAAATGGAAACAAAGAAAACGGATCGCGGTATATTGCCCAGCAGCCAGCCCGGAAACGCACCCGAACGGGCTCCGCGCCCCACGGGTGCCACAAGGAGAATTGTCGAATGCCGACGCGCACTTCCGCGCCGCGAAAGGGCCCCCATGCCGCTGGAGCTTCCGCCACCGCCCACCCTTTCCCGTAGTGCAAGGTTTCATCGTCTCAAACGCGCGGGTCCGCAAGCGATATTGCTTTCTGGAGCGCCAGACGGCTTCCCCGCAATATCCGCGCGCATGTTGGGCTTGGAGCTTAACGTGCGGGACATGGGAAACGCACTGATTATACAAAGCAGCGCGCGGCCAGGAGAAGCGCGAACTTAACCGCCGCGCAAGCGGGAGGAGCATCGGCCGAAGAACGGCCGTGACCCGGCCTCCGTCGGCCTCCTCAAAAGGCCCCAGACAAATTCATTTTCAGT